ATCTACTGAATGGGAGAAGCTAGTTGCAAATGATACCTCCAATCCTCCAATAAGGGATTAGTATCCAAACAATACAAAGAATTTATACAACGTTAACAGCACAAACCTCCCAAATAATCCAATTAAAACATGGGCTGAGGATGTGAGTAGAAATTTTTCCAAGTAAGACATACAGATGACCAACAGACACAAAAATGCTTATTAACATTATTAATAATCAGGAAAATGCAAATTAAAACCTCAATATTGCCTTACAACTGTTAGAATGGCTAAAATAAAACGGACAAGAAGTAACAAGTGTTGGTGAAGATGTGGAGAAAAAGGAACCCTTGTGCACTGTTGGTGGAAATGCAAATTGGTGCAGACTGTGGAAAATAGTATGGAGTTTCCACACAAAATTAAAAATAGAATTACCATATGATCCAGTAATTCCATTACTGGATATTAACCCAGAGAAAATGAAAACACTAATTTGAATAGATGCATTCCTATGTTTACCGCATCAGTTTATAGCCGGGCTTTTTGTTCTGTTCTAATGATCTACATATTGTTTTTATGCCAAGACCAAACTGTTTTGATTAGTATATTTTTGTAACATAGTTTGAAATCAGGAAGTCTGATGTCTCCAGCCTTGTTCTTCTTTCTTAAGATTACCAGCTATCTGGAGCCTTTTGTGGTTCCTTACAAATTTTAGGACTGTTTGCTCATTATTTGTGAAAAATGCCTTCGGAATTTTGATAAGAGATTGCACTGAATCTATAGATTGCTTTGAGATACTATGAGAATTTTAATAATTTAATTCTTCTGATCCACAAGCATGGACTATCTTTCCATTTATACGTATCTTCTTCAACTTCTTTTATCCATGTCATACTTTTCAATGTACAGGTCTTTTACATCCTTGTTAATCATTTATCGGATGTGACACCAAGGGTGAAAATAACAAAAGAAAAATTAGACAAAATGAACTCATTGAAATGAAAAACTTTTGGGGCACCTGGATGGTTCAGGTAGTGATCTTAGGGTTGTGGAATCGAGCCCTGAGAATCTTAAGATTCTCTCTCTCCTTCTCCCTCTGCCCCTCCCCTGCCTCTGTCACCCTCTCTAAAAATAAAAAAATAAGAAAAAAAAAAAGAAAAACTGTGCACCACAGGACACTATCAAGAGAGTAAAGAGACAATTTTGAGAATGGTAGGAAACGTTTGTAAATCACATATCTGACAAGAGATTAACATCCAGAATACATGAACAACTCTTAAAACTCAACAAGAGCAACAAAACAACCCATTTCAAAAAACAGCAAAGGATTTGAATAGATATTTCTCCAAAGAAAATACAGAAATGGCCAATGAGAATTGCTCAATATTGATAATCAATCAAGAAATGCAAACTGAAACCGTAATGATATACCATTTCATACACACTAGGGTGGCTATTATCAGAGAATCAGAAATAACAAATGTTGGTGAGGATATGGAAAAATTGAAACCCTGTGCACTGCTGGTGGAAATATAAAATGCAACTATGCAAAACAGTATGGTGGTTTCTCACAAAATTAAAAATGGCATTACTGTCATGATATAGCAATTCCACTTCTAGGTACATGCCCAAAAGAACTGAAACCAAAGTCTTTTTTTTTTTTTTTTTTAATTATTGAGAGTCACAGAGAGAGAGACAGGCAGAGACACAGGCAGAGGGAGAAGCAGGCTCCATGCACCAGGAGCCCGACGTGGGATTCGATCCCGGGTCTCCAGGATCGCACCCTGGGCCAAAGGCAGGCGCCAAACCAGTGCGCCACCCAGGGATCCCATTGAAGAGATATCTGTACACCCATATTTCTCGCAGAATTATCCACAATAGGCAAAAAGTGGAAGTAACTCATGTGTTCATTGAAATATGAATGGATAAATGCAGTATATACACAATGGAGTATCAGTCATTTTTTTTTAATTTTTATTTATTTATGATAGTCACACACACACACACACACACACAGAGAGAGAGAGAGAGAGAGAGAGAGAGAGACATAGGCAGAGGGAGAAGCAGGCTCCATGCACTGGGAGCCCGACGTGGGATTTAATCCCGGGTCTCCTGGATCGCGCCCTGGGCCAAAGGCAGGCGCTAAACCGCTGCGCCACCCAGGGATCCCGAGTATGAGTCTTAAAAGGAAGACTGACACATGCTGTAACATGGATGAATCTTGAAGACCTCCTGATTTCAAAAAACTCCGAAGTGACAGGAATCAAGACAAATATATCAACAGAACAGACAAATCAATGGAACAAAGTCCAAAGATATATCAGCACATATAAGGTCAAATGATTTTTGACAAACGTATTAAGGCAGTTAAATGGAGAAAGGAAAGTCTATTCAACAGTGGTGCTAGAACAGCTGGTTATCAATATGAAAAAATGAAAAAAACAACTTTGATCCCTAATTCACACAAGACTAAAAATTAATGAGAGAGATCACAGATCTTTTTTTTAATACATTTATTTTTTATTGGTGTTCAATTTACCAACATACAGATTAACACCCAGTGCTCATCCCGTCAAGTGTCCCCCTCAGTGCCCGTCACCCATTCACCCCCACCCCCCGCCCTCCTCCCCCTCCACCACCCCTAGTTTGTTTCCCAGGGTTAGGAGTCTTTATGTTCTCTGTCCCTTTCTGATATTTCCCACACATTTCTTCTCCCTTCCCTTATATTCCCTTTCACTATTATTCATATTCCCCAAATGAATGAGAACATACACTGTTTGTCTTTCTCCGCTTGACTTACTTCACTCAGCATAATACCCTCCAGTTCCATCCACATTGAAGCAAATGGTGGGTATTTGTCGTTTCTAATGGCTGAGTAATATTCCATTGTATACATAAACCACGATAGATCATAGATCTAATGAGAAACTAAAACTGAAGCCTCCTAAAGAAAACGTGGAAGAATTTCTTCATGACCTTGGGGTAAGCAACAACTTCTTAGACTGAAGATATAAGATGGTAATGTAACAGAAAAATAGTAATAAATGGAATCTTATAAAAACTAAAAACTGGGACACCTGGGTGGGGCCTGCTTCTCCCTCTGCCTGTGTTTCTGCCTCTCTCTCTCGCTGTGTCTGTCCTGAGTAAATAAATAAAATCTTAAAAAAAATCCATTTATTATAGTTGAAAAAATTATAATTGAAATTTTTTTTTCAATTTTTAAACTTTTGCTTTAAGAAAAATACCATTTAATAAAATTAAAAGTTAAACCATAGACTAGGAGCAAAGAGTCAGAACTGTATCGGACCCCAGGATCACTCCGGGAGCCAAAGGCAGACGCTCAGCTGCTGAGCCATCCAGACGTCCCACTAGGAAAATATTTTTTTTTTTTTATTTATGATAGTCACAGAGAGAGAGAGAGAGAGAGAGAGAGAGAGAGAGAGGCAGAGACACAGGCAGAGGGAGAAGCAGGCTCCATGCACCCGGAGCCCGACGTGGGATTCGATCCCGGGTCTCCAGGATCGTGCCCTGGGCCAAAGGCAGGCGCCAAACCGCTGCGCCACCCAGGGATACCGAGGAAAATATTTTTAAAGGCATCTCAGCAATATTAACTTTTCCCAGAAGAAAGTACGGAAAACTTACCAACAATATCAAGGTGAGTTTCTTCATCTTCTTCTCTTCTTCTCTTTGATCTTTTTCTTCTTACTGTAGGAGATAATTTATATAGATAAGTTTAGAAATATTGATTTGATGTTAAATATCTAAGATGGAACCTTAGAAGTCTCATTTTTTTTTTAATTTTTTTAATTTTTATTTATTTACGATAGTCACAGAGAGACAGAGAGAGAGAGAGAGGCAGAGACACAGGCAGAGGGAGAAGCAGGCTCCATGCAGGGAGCCTGAGGCGGGACCGATCCCGGGACTCCAGGGTCACCAGGGTCACGCTCCGGGCGGAAGGCGGCGCCAAGCCGCTGAGCCACCGGGCTGCCCCCTTGTATCAGTTCTCTCACCGCTAATCTTCCCTAATGAATGAGTAAATAGAAGCGCCAGGATATTAGCGGACCTGCCACAAACTGCTAAACTAGGAACTGCTGAGAACCCAAGCTTGAGCTTATATACCTGTCAAAACGCACATCTGCATATTGTATTGAAAAAATTAAGGATTTGCTTTTTTGGGCGGGGGGAGGGAGGAATGATTAATTAAGGATTTGGGGGGGGAATGAAGGATTTTTTTCGAGGGGAGAAACTTAAGGAGTACTGGGTGGGGAGGCGGGCGTGAAGATAAGGAGCCCTAACAGAAGACGTCGTTGTCACGACCTGCAGCACGAGACTAAGGCAGACGCGCCGAGCAGCGGTCTGGGGGGGGCTCCTGACCCGGGGCCAGGCCTGCAGCTCCCGGCTCGCGGTCGCGCGCTCAGGTCTCCTCCGTCTGGAAGGCGCGGCCGTCAGGGCGCACGTCCCGGGGCGCGTCAGGACGGCCCCGCAGGAGCGCCCGGAACTGCCTGGCAGCCACAGACCCCGGGGCCGGAAGCAGGCCCGAGGGCGGGGAGCCGGAGTGCACGGCTCCCTCCCAACCCGAGTTCCGCGACACTGTCCTGTCCACGGGGGCGGGGGGGGGGGCGCGCTGTCGGGAGAGACCCAGAGTCTCCCGCGCCAACTCTGGCCTTACCTCTTGGCCTTGGTTCCCTTGAGCACGAGTTTGGTGGACTTCACGTACGAGTATTCGGCCATGGTTGGGGGGACGCCCTGTCCGCAGAGGGGAGAGCTGGCTAGCGGCAAAAGACCTCCACTGGAGGAGGAACTGGCGAGGGAAGCCCTCCCCGGGCGGAACAGCAGGGACTCCCTGAGAGCGCAGGCGACGGCGCCTCCGAGCCCCGGGCGTTATTTTTCACCCGCCTCTTGGCGCCTACTTACTGTTTACAGTCTGGGGCTACGGCAACGCCAGAGGGCCGAAATACCTCAGGGTTCTTTTGCTTTGGAGAAGCGCGGGATCGCGTTTCGGCAAAAGAGAAAACCAGGGGGACGCGCCCCCTGGCGGCCCGTGGGGGCGCGCTAGAGGTGTCCTGCTAGGTGTCCCGGGAAGGCGACCGGGTGACTGAGCCGGCGAAGGGGCTCCCGGAGCGCCTCCCCGCTTTCCTGGGCGTGAGCTGGGCCTCCGAGGGCTTGCGAGCCCTTCCAATCCCATCAATTCTATTGTGTTATCTAGGGAGACTGGAGTGGTGGGCGGGAAACTAGGGAGTCCAGGAAAAGATAATTAAGTGCATAAGTTTGGGGGGCAGACGGCACGAGCGCGGTCGGAACCGGGTGCAGGTGCGGCGGGAGGCTGAGGTGCACACTCAGGTAATCCGAGAGGTCTGTCCGCCTAGCAGGGGCCTCGGGGGCGCTCCAGCCCCCGCGACCGTGTCTCCGGCCTGCTCCGGGATCTTCCGACAGTTTTGTTTTGTTTTGTTTTGTTTGATTGTTTTAAAAAACATTTTATTTTTATTTGAGAGAGAGGGAGAGAGAGAGAGAACGACAGCAGGGGGAGGGGCAGAGGGGGAGGGAGCAGCCGACTCCGGGGAGCTCCGTGTGGGGCTCCATCCCCGGGTTCCAATCCGGGGCTCCCTCCTGGGGCACCATCCCAGGGTTCCATCCAGGGACTCTCTTCTGGGACTCTGTGATCATGACCTGAGCCGAAGGCAGACCCTTCACCAACTCAGCCACCCAGGTGCCTCTCTTACTACACTTTCATAGCTCACTTCCCTGATTCCCTTTTCTCCCACTTCCAAACCACCTCTGATAATGCTGCCTGAATGATCATTCTAGAGAACTCGCTGATTATCCCCCAATCTAAAAATCTATTAAAGGCTACCTATTAGTTTCAGGAGAGAAACTCCTGGCATCGCTTAGTAAACTATTGACAGTCTGGCCTCTTTTCCCACCACCTAACCTTGCCACCGTAGTCCCACTAATGGTTGGAAAGTCTGAATGCTTTCTGTTTGCTTCTGCTCCCTGGAATCCTGCCCTTTCCTGTGTCCCTTGCTCTTCACTTGGCCCCAGGGTTTCCAATGTTTAAGATAATATTAATTAGTGGAACCTCACTAAAATGGAGAGAGAAGGAGAAAAGAGAAAGTTAGGAGGTGAAGCCTTACCACTCAACATCAATTATGGTTAATTACAGAAAGAATTATCAAAGAAGAGCCCAACAGAAGAATCAGCAGCAGGAAAGAATCATCAATCACAGGCTCCTGCAAGGGAAAGATGTACGTCGTATCTCTGACAAGATCTCCACTACCCCTGCAACTCAGCCCTTTGGAAACCATCATGACCTGGACTTCTGCTATTTTTTCCCCCCAATGAACTTTTGTTCGGAAAAACCCCTCCCAGCTTCATTCTTCTTCTGCACAAAATAACGTTCCTCTTTGTTTGTTGCATGTACAGAATTGGGATTCTGTTATTCCTGAAAAAAAAAAAAACATTTTTTTTGCTAGTAAAATAACCGACAGTTTTATTTTTCAGGTTAAAACTCCAAAAAACTGTCTTTAAATGACCTCCTGCATTCCCCAAGCATCCTGCATTTCTCATTCTGTAGTTAATTGTGTGCTTTTTCAGGGCAGGAATATAAGTAGCTTATTCGTCTTTGTTTCACCTGTATACCTTGTGCAGTACCTGCTTCAGAGTAGACCCCGCATAAATGTCTGTTAACATGTGAGGATTGTAAAGCCTGAAGTTCAGCTGTGGGTTAATGAAGAGAGTGGAACATTTAGGAGTGTGACTAGATAGGAGGGGTTGTGGTAGAAAAACAGGAGGAGGAAAATCAGCGGGGTGAGGAATAATATATCATGGAGGCCACTGGAGGCCCATTCCGTATTTATTTACCAACCATCTCTGCAAAAACACCATGTGCTTGATGATAACATGTTGGCAACAGTATGGACAAAGGCAAGGAGCTAGGTGAGTGCTGGGTTGTGAAAAGAGAAGTGAATAGCCCAGTTGGTTGGAGACAGGGCATGTAGATTACAGTGGTGGGATCCAGGATTGAGAAGGCAAAGTTGGGTCATTTTGTACCTGAAAAATTTGCATAATCAGGAAGCAGTTGTGAGGGTAATTTGCAGGGGGGTCAGATGAACAGAGGGGTACTCCAGGATGGTTACTCTGCAGCACTTGGCAATGCGAGGTGAGCCATGAGCCTTGGCTATTTAATTATTTATTTATTTATTTATTTATTTATTTATTTATTTATTTATTTATTGAAATACGAGTAACTGACAAAAGATAGTTATTTCAAATAAAACACATTGCCAACTACAAGACTAGATACAGAGCCAGCCCCACCGCCCCCTAGGCTCCTTTGTGAACTTGGTTGATTTCAATAAGTGACCATTTGGGCCACTTGCCTTTTCTCTTTCTGAGCTTGGGATCCCTGGGTGGCGCAGCGGCTTGGCGCCTGCCTTTGGCCCAGGGCGCGATCCTGGAGACCCGGGATCGAAACCCCCATCGGGCTCCCGGTACATGGAGCCTGCTTCTCTCTCTGCCTGTGTCTCTGCCTCTCTCTTTCTCTGTGTGACTATCATAAATAAATAAAAATTTAAAAAAAAATTCAAAATCTCTTTCTGAGTTTTAAATTCCGCACTCTTATATTTTAAATTTTCTAATAAAGAGTGAGCCTACAAAACCCTAGGCCCCCACACTAGGCTCTGATAAAAGCAGAAAGCCTGCCTGTGCATACTTGTATGCTCGCTTTCCTCCTTCCCCCTGCCCTGTGTGACCTCGCTATGTGGTTCCAAGTGTGCTGTGTGATTTCCAGGTCTTATAAATAATAAATCTCTATTTTTTCAAAGTTTCCCATTGTTCTTGAAGGGCATCTTGAAATCATAATAAGAAGCACAATAGCGGGTCCAAACACAACAGTGGGATATTGATATTAGCATATTGATATGCTAAGACTGGCACAAACAGTGTGATCAGTGGTGTAAGTGATACCAAAACCCTTTTACTCGAGCCATGACTCTTTATATATTGTAGAAAACATGAAGACCAGTTGGCTTCAAGAATCTTAGGAAATAGTATTAAACTTATGATTCCTGGTGGCACCATAGAATCAGGATGGGCCCATCTCAAAACTGACTCAGAAAATAAAACCATAGCCATAGCAAAGAATTTGCTAGGTGAGTATCCTTGCATACTGTTACCACATATTTTCTAATATTTTCACACAACTTCCCTTTTTCTTATAACAATCTGTGTCATGTTGAAAAAATTCCCAGAACCATGAACAAAAGAGATAGGATGAGAGGTTGCTTGTGTTGGCTTTAAAAGTGACGTTTGGAAAGACTCAGTTTCCTAATCTCTTAAAATGGGGTTAGTAATAGTACCTCTGAGAGTTATGAGGATTTACTGGTGTAATTTGTGTAGAGTGGTTACGATCCACAAGTAAGCACCCAGTAGATGTTAGTTGTGACGATCACCAACCTCGTTATTATTAAAGGTTATCATCATTGGCAGGAATGTTGAAAGCAAGAGAATGGATACATGCTCTCAGAGAATGAATGTGGAGAGACCAGATGAGCAGGAACCATACAACCATACAACCGTATAGTAAGGGAGTAGAAAGAAAAAGTGAGGACAGAAAGGTAAATAGAAGAAGGAAATAAGGTTACAGTAAAGTTAGACAAATCAAGACTAAGTAGAAACTCCAGAAAGAGCAATATTATTTCATATTGAAGATGTTCAGAAGAACAGGATGGAAGGATGGAACAGGTTAACCTTTGAGTTAACCTACAGGTGATGTGTGGGGAACATTTTCAGGGGAGCAGTGTGGAGGGAAGTTGGCTTGATCTAAAGAGAAGGTGGAGAAGAGATAAGACCAGCTTGCTATTGACTATTTGGGGGCATGGAAAGCAAATGAGGGATAGTCCATTCTGCATTTCTGGATGTCATTCCTTCTTGCTTAGCCACTATACATATACACAGAGTTCTAGCACCAAATTCTAGAAAATAAAAATGAGACCAATTTCATTTGTAGAAGCGAAGACAATACTTTATGGTGGAATCAAGATAAATGCATGACTCTCCTAGTCCCACTCTTGGTTTTTAAGTTAAACAGCTGCTTTTCCTCTTCATTAATTTCATTTCCAGATCCTCCCAGGTGTCAGTGGTTTTCAGGAGTTACATAAGTCCTCTAGGTTCTCGATGAATTGAGAAAGATGAGGAGGTGTGAATAAACAGTTTTCAGCAAAGGGAGGATTTTGAAATTCTGTTCATGTGTTTTTCTGTAACCATTCCAGGTTTTCAAGGTTATTCAATGGCAGGGATCCTTGTGTGATTTTCCAAGCTTTATTGATAAGAACCACTGCAGATATTTGTCTAAGATACTGATTTCCAGGCCATTCACATAGCGATTCTTATTCAGAAGATCACTGATGGGACCCAGGAATAGGTATTTTGACAACTGTCAAAAGTGATTCTTACAGCCAGGCAAATTTGGGAAACATTGACCTAGCTTTTACATTTTCATTGTTGGGAGCTAAAGAAGGCTGCTCCCCGAAATTTTAGCCTTTTAAAAAATAAAGTATATTTTTAAAAATTTTTATTTACTTATTCACGAGAGACACATAGAGAGAGGCAAAGACACAGGAAGAGGGAGGAGAAGCAGGCTCTATGCAGGAAGCCCAATGCGGGGCTTGATCCCAGGGCTCCGGGATCACACCCTGACCCCAAAGCAGAAGCTCACCCATTGAGCCACCCAGGCATCCCAAAAATAAAATATTTTTTAAGAGGGAAATTGTATGGCTAGATAAAATATGTATACACATACTATATGTATTGTACCGTATTATATTCTTCATTCAATATTATAATTAAAGATGGGTAAGAATACTCAGAAAACTACATATTAAATGAAAAGAGGAGTATGTAGGAGTAGAGATAAATGCAGCTTATTGCTGGAAAAGAAAAAAAAAAGAGTGTTAGAAATCTAATGGAAACAGCATTTTGTAAAGTGCAAGAGCTTCAGAATCATGCCTGAAATCTTCTTTGGTGTTCAGTTGTAAATGGTGACTTTGGACTAGATTTAGGGGAGAAACCAATTATGCTCTAAAGTGTTCTTGTAAAAGGCTTTAAATGAAAGAAAATCCTTGTATGTGGTTGCAGCAATTTAAATTGAAGGCTTTTAACATATTACTAATCTTTTCCCACTTAAAAACTATCTTTCATTTGAATTGAAAAGTTGTTATTTATGTTCTATTAGCATCTTTATGCCGAGACTCAACAGCATGTTTTACATTTCCAAATTTTTATTTCTCGATTTTGCTGGTAGGAATATACTACTCCATCGATTTTTTAAAAGGTAAAACAATTTGTTTTGACAAGGGCATATGGTACTTTCTTCTTCAGTTTTCTGAAGCAAAAGATTACGTTTAATAGTGATTTCAGCAGCAAGGTCTATGTTGGGTCCAGACCAATTGCACTAACTTTACTAAAATCCTGTTCTGTTTTTCAGATTAAAAGAAAAATGGAGGAGAAACACTTAGCTCTGATGCAAAATAAATAAATAAATAAATAAATAAATAAATAAATAAATAAATAAACACATATTCATGATGCAGAAGGAAGAATGAAGGAAATGGAGTTTCCATTACGGGAATTGAGAGGCAGTAGTAGACAACTATGTCAAAAGCCATTAGTCTGCTAAACATATTATGTTCTTAGGGGCACCTGGGTGGCTCAGTCAGTTGAGCGACCAACTCTTGATTTTGGCTCTCGTCATTATCTCAGAGTCATGAGATTGAGCCCCGAGTCAGGCTCTGCACTCAGTGAGGAGTCTGCTTGAGATTTTCGCTCTCTCCCTCTCCTCTGCCCCTCCCCTGGCTCTCTCTCTCTCAAATAAATACATACATATATAAATAGATTTTAAATTCCTTAAAAATATTATGTTTTAAAAATTGGATTAGCTAAGTTTTCAGGAGGAGGAAAAAAAAAGAAAAATGGAATGCATGAAGGTAGCCCACGAGAGCTACAAAGTGGCAGTGAATTTTCAACTCTAATGAAATTAAAGCTATAGTTGTTACACATCTTCCTGCTACCAGTAAGTAGTGTCCATTCAATTTACATCTGTAGTTACATTAAGTTTATCCTGACATCCTGATTTTTATAAATCTTTGAGAAATAATGATTGTTTACTTTTGTCTCCTCTCAACCAGAAACAATTTTTACTCCTATAATTATTTTCCTTCCCAGCTCCATTCCTTCTATTACAGAGTATGTAGGGGTGACTGATAACAGAATTGCTCACAGAATTAAGTCAGAAGTTCAGAATATTTCAGGATGATATTGGTAATATGTCAGTGTGCTAAAATAAAATCTTACCAGAGGTGGTATTGCTATGAATCTATGTCAGTGTATTGTTGGATCTGGCACCCCAAAGTTGACAATCTGATTAATTAAATACACTGCCACTCATTAATTTACAATATTTGGATATGCTCATCCTTCTTCCTTCCTTCTTTTATTTTTTCCCCTTTATTCATTTCTTTACATGAGCAATGGTTTCGATCTAAGATCCTGAGGGTCCTGAAGATTTTTTGTTGGTGGTGTTAATCTACTCTCAAAGTCTATTTCTTTGGTTTCTCATTAAAGCATCACAGCAGCACCATATTTATTTGTTAGTCTGTTTATCCATCCTGCTTTTTTGAGATGTAATTGACATACAACATTATATAGGTTTAAGGCTTTGTTGGACATGCTTATTTATTGATAAATTATTGCCACAGTATCATTAGATAAAACCTCCAACACTTCACATAATTTACTTTTTTTTTTTCACAGTGAGATCATTTAAGTTATACTCTCTTAGTGACTTGCAAGGAGATAATACAACATGGTTAACCATAATCACCATACTGTACATTAGTCCTCCGAACTTATATATCTTTTTTAAAAACATTTTATTCATTTATTCATGACAGACATGCAGAGAGAGGCAGAGACATAGGCAGAGGGAGAAGCAGGCTCCCTCTGGGGAGCCTGATGCAGGACTCCATTCCAGGATCCTGGGATCATGACCTGAGCTGAGGGCAGATGCTCAACCACTGAGCCACCCAAGTGCCCTATTTATCTTATAATTGGAAGTTTGTATGCTTTGGCCATCATCCTCTCATTTCCCTCCCCTTCCTAGCCCCTGATAACTCCCAATCTGCTGTTGCTATGAGCTTGCTTTTTTAGAGACTCCACACATAAGTGGGATCACACAGTATTTATTTTTTCTTTCTGACTTATTTCACTTAGTGTAATACCCTTAGACCCAGACATGTTGCAAATGGAAGATTTCTTTTTTTCTCATGGCTTGAATAATATTCCATTGTGGTATATAAATATTCCATTTTGTATGTGTATGTATATATATCACATCCTACCTATCCATTCATCCATATATGGACACTTAGGTTATTTTCATGTCTCAGCTATTGTTAATAATGCTGCAATGAACCTGGGAGTGTAGATATCTCATTGAGATACTGATTTCCTTTCCTTTGAATATATATACCCAGAGGCAGGATTGCTCGATCATATGGTGACTTTTAAATTTCAATTTTTAATTTTTTAAAGAACCTCCATTCTGTTTTCCATAATAGAAAACATTCCCACCGACAGGGCTCAAGGATTTCCTTTTCTCCACTTCTTCGCGGACACTGGTTACTTTTTGTCTTTTTGATGATAGCCATTTAAACAGGTGTGAAATGACGTCTCATTGTAGTTTCAATTTACATTTCCTTGATGACTAGTGATGTTGGGCATCTTTTAATGTACCTATTGACCATTTGTATGTCTTCTTTGGGAAAAATGTCTATGTAATTTCTCTGCCCATTTTTATTTATTTTTTTAATTTTTCATGTATTTACGATAGTCACAGAGAGAGAGAGAGGCAGAGACATAGGAAGAGGGAGAAGCAGGCTCCATGCACCGGGAGCCCGATGTGGGATTCGATCCCGGGTCTCCAGGATCGCGCCCTGAGCCAAAGGCAGGCGCCAAACCGCTGCGCCACCCAGGGATCCCTCTCTGCCCATTTTTAAATGGGATTCTATTTGTTTATTTGCGATTGAGTCTTACGAGTTCCGTATATGGGTTTTTTTTTTTAATGTTAGCCCCTTATGAGACATATGATTTACAAATATTTTCTTCCACTCTGTAGATTGCCCTTTAATTTTGATTGTTTCTTTTGCTGTGCAGAACCTTTTGGTTTGATGTAGTCTCACCTGTTTGTTTTCATTACTTGTGCTTTTGGTGTCATATCCAGAAAATCATTGCCAAACCCAATGTTGAGGAGCTGCTCCCCATGTTTTCCCTAAGTTTTATGGCTTCAAGACTTATGTGTACGTTTTTAGTTTCTTCCAAGTTATTTTTTTTTGAATGACATAAGATAGGGGTCCGATTTTATTCCTCTGTATGTGATTATCCAGTTTTCCCAGCACTGTTTATTAAAGAGAGTATCCTCTTTTCATCAGGTATTTTTGGCTCACTTGTGAAATAGTGGTTTACCATATATGCAAAGGCTTATTTGTGAGCTCTCAGTTACGTACCATTGGTCTACAAATCTATGTTTATGCCAATGCCATATTGTTTCGATTACTGAGGCTTATAATATAGTTTGAAATGAGAACCTATGATATCTCCTGCTTTATTCTTTTCTCAGAAATGCTTTTCAGGGCATTTTGTTGTTCCATATGAATTGTAAGAATTTTTTTATTTCTGTGAAAAATGCCATTGGAATTTTGACAGGGATTGCATTGAATCTATAGATGGTTTAGAGTAGTATAGACATTTAACAATACTAATTTTTCTGATCCATGAACACAGGATATCTTTCAAGTTGTTTGTGTGTTCTTCAATGTGTTTCAGCAAAGTCTTGTAGTTTTTACTATACAGATCTTTTATCTTCTTTGTTAAATTTATTCCTAAGTATTTTATTGGTTTTAATGCTATTGTGAATGGGATTTTTAAAAATTTCTTTTTCAGATATTTGTTGTTAGTGTGTAGAAATGCAATGGATTTCTGTATGTTCATCTTATATTCTGCAACTTTACTGAATTCATTGATTAATTCTAACTTTTTCTTTCCTGGAGTCTTCAGGATTTTTTATGTACAAGATCATGTCGTCTGCACACAAAGACAATTTTCCTTCTTCCTTTCTAATCTGGATGCCTTTTATTTCATTTTCTCATCTAACAGCTGCGGTAAGGATTTTGAGTACTATGCTTAATAGCAGTGGTAAGGGTGGGAG